GGGGGTGGGGCAAAACCTTAGGAAATCTATTGTATTCTAATACATATTCTTCTATGTCGTTCTACGCTACATTATAATAGTTTAGCATATAATATGATGTAATCCTTCGTTTTAGTATATTTGCTGTTTTGTTGGTAAATGTTTTCTTTTCTTGAAACGATGATAAGATATAGTTTATCACTACTGCTTTCGGCATTACGACCGAATCTCAGGTTTCTTTGCTATTTATTTTGATACAATTCTGAAATGTTCAGGTTCTCCCGAAATGAAGGCCGTTTACCTGAAATCCATCAAGGACCAACCTCATTTACAGCGAATCAGTGAGTTCGAAATGGTTTCAACAACAAGCCCTACACCCACGGGTAAAAACAGTTTCCTCGAATCGTTCTCGTGTAACGAAGAGGCATCTGATGATGATGACGGTTCAGAAGATGACCAATTCGTGGTTCCAAATGACTTCGTTGAATATGAAACGAGCGGAGGGGAGAGCGACAGCGACATGGCGATGAACGCAGTGCGGCCAAAACGACGGAGACTGGTGATCGACGATGACGATGATAGTTGCGACTTAGAAAAGTCTTGCGACACCGACAAAGGACAACAACACGTGGCCAGCCAGCAATTTTGCAAAGACAACGGACTGCTACCATGTGATCAATCAGAGCCGCCAGCAAGCCAAGTTTTCCGACCTGCTTCAAAATCTGCACAATTCGCAAAACGGGCCGCTGGTGACATTCCTCTGGCAGTCGTAAAGCCGTGCTTCACCTCCACGAGTCCTTGCGCTGTTGTGACCGATGACGACACAGTGTTGACGTCCAAACTGCTACGGAAACCCGTAGTTTTAATTAACAGTCTAGAGATAGTATCAGCACAGGTGAGTACTGCTGTATTTAATCGCACTGTATTCTAACACCGAATGCGTCGTTGAGAGGTTCTGATTTGGCTTAATCTTGTTTCATACGCTTGACCCTTTGTCAAAATTAATACATACGTAAACGATGGCCTAAGAAACTATATACAAATGCTGTAAAGAGCTGTTATTATTAGCTGTCATAATGAACGATGTTTTGTGGCCTCTTCGCGTCTGTCTCCATTAAACTATAGGACGTCAGCATGAGCCAAGATCTTGCATGCCAGTTCGACAGCTTCCAATTGCTGCATTGGCGATGCCCAGAGTAACTGCATGTTATTAATTTCATCCTCAAATGCATTCGTAGAACACAGTCTGAAACTTATGTATGATCTGTCAGACTGTTACTTTGCATTGTTAAGCCCTCCGTCTTTTGTACAGTGGGTACGACCGGTGACATGCACTCTAGTATAACTTCGAAAGATCCCTGTGAATTGAAACAGCGTGCTATCGCGTAGTGCCAGCTCTAACTGAAACTGCAATATTTTCCAGTACAGGTAGAACCTAATCTATTCGAGAGTTGCGTTCCCCTAGCATTTGCCCAACACGAATTGTACGTAAGTCCAATTTAACCCACGCCACCGATGGTTTACGTATCTACAGCACCTGGATACGGTAGAATATTAAAATGTTTTAAGCATTGTTTCTTTTAGTCGTGCTCAAACGATGCACATACACGTTAGGTTTCAGCATGTAATTATTAATGCAATGTAGTGTGATCGTGTAAGAAAATGCAGTAGTATAGGTATGAATAGTGCAAGAAAATAGAAAGATAAAATGATTTTTATTTTGACTGACTGGCCGTTCTTGTAAAATTTGCAAAAGATGAACAGGCATTGACTTCTTTCTTCTCTTCATAAATTACTGGATAACAGTCTAAAGCGTCATCAGTTTCTCTTTTGTCTTTGAAGAACCGTGAGGCAATATGATTCCTTTGTTCCAGTCGTGCTGTTTGTACTAAAATTTTACGGAGTGCCACTGTCATCTTCAACGAGAAAGAATTTTGTTGTTATTGTGGTTCCGAAGCCTCACCTTCATCAAGTTTCATTCCTTCTAATTCAGTGAGTCCTTGACTTGATGATTCATCTCCATACGAGTCAATCAGTTCTTCCATATCACGTTCAGGGCCCTTTAAATGAGCAGTATCTATTATAATTCTATTCACTGTTGATGGTGCGAAACCAAGATCGCTTCGAATGGTCGTAAACCTGACTTCCCTTCATATTTTTTCATAATTCTCAATTTCATCTCTGGATGAATTTGGTACGTTTACGCATTGTTACTTTTCTTCATTTTTGTTTCAATCATGATTATGCTCTACCGCAGCTCAAGCAAATGCTAAAAATTGTAAAATAGTATTAATGCAAAAGAAGGGCACTTCCTTGTTCAATAGTAATCAAAATGATCCTGAGAAAGACCTCTTTTAAATGACGTCAGCGTGTTAAGTAAAATTTTATATCTCTGATTTTTCCCTTAGCCCTTTTAAGCTAATTTGACTAGGTCGCAGTCTGTCTGTATTAAAGATATTTTGGATAGATTTTAATGTTAAGCTATTTTTCTTTTATAAAACATTCTCGAGCCAGTGCTTTCTGTATTATGTTTTACTGTTTCAGCATATGGTTTCGATTTTGAAAACAGAGTACGATGTAGAGACACACGTCTGCTCACTTGGCAAATGTGATTACATAATCAGTACTAAAGTTGCGGTAGAGCGGCAGCTGGTCAGTGGTAAGTCAGTTATATAATCAGTAATGTCAAGTAATGACTGCGAAACCACTTTTATCATAACAGCCAAATATAGGAGATTCATGTGGAGCCGCGGCGGTTCTCTGATTATCGGCGGTTTATCGTCCACTTCCTGAATATTTTACTAGCAGAAGGGTGATTGGTGAACAATACCGTGACATAGTTAAACTAATAATCAAGTAGTCTCTTTCCTTCGTAGCTAATCGAAGCAGAGTACCTTAACGGCTGCGTTAGCTCGTTTCGTATTTTTAGTATGGGGTTAATTTTTTGTCTCTTTAACCTGAACCACTAAGCTCTACCAATGAAATCAAAAGCGAACTGTTCGTACTCAACTTCATGTTAATCTTTTCAGTGGCTTGATGATGAGCGATGCTTATTCGCTCGAAACATTGGTTTGTAAATTAAAAGTCTTGCCAAGAACATCGGCTTATTTTTTGTCTATATATGCTGACGGATAGTGGCAGATTTAGTTAGTGCCCAATGGCGCCCAAACCGATTATGCATTCTTGCATCCAGTGCATGTAGGTGTTCAAATATCATGCATATTTGGTCTGCTTAATTGGTCCCTCTAAGCAACTACAAGGGAACGGTGATCTTACGCCGAATAACACAGATTTCAGAAATTGAAGTGTTATGATTACCGGTGGAAATGCAAAGCTGCTGTGTGATAACTATCCTTGAACATCGGTGTTGCCTTTTGTCTATAAAAGATTTTTTCTTTTCGATTTGCTAGACATCGAAGGCAGCGGGAAATGAACATAACGAAGCTCCATGCCGTCTAAGTTCTGATAAAACCCTGCTTTTGTATTTTGCACTTCCATGTCTTCTAGCACTGTGTTGGACGGCGAGCAGACGCTTGATTTTTGTACATTCCCATGAACGCAGTGCCAGTTAATAGCAGTTTTTGTCAGTTCTTGGCTGTGTCGAACGTCAGATGACTGTGAATGCCGTATCTACGGAGATTGTTTCCTACCTGAATCTCGTTGCACAGAAAGGATTGTTGTTGGAAAAAGGCGTACGTCATTTAATAATGCGCATAGCTTTGCCTCTCCTGAATGCCTTGGCGAATTTAGAGCTTATTTGCTTTGCATGGCCACCATCTAATGATCTAATGGAACATGGCATGAGGCCTTTATGTTCACTTTTTGCATTGAACACTCTACAGAATCAGTTGGAGCTCTACAAGATTTAATAAGCATTTCACCGATCTACGTGACGGTATTGCAAAACCTTTTTGTTCATAGAAGTATATAGGCTATTTAAGCAGACGGGACTCCACGGCTTCGTTTTTAGCATTTGGAGTATATTTATGCATCACGTGTCGTTTATCTACTAAACATTAGTGCTTAGTAATAATTAGTATTAATAGCGCTTATTAACATGATCAGTTGCATCACTTTTTCAGAATTCGAACATCCGTTTCAATCGAAGCGACTTTTGTCACGACTTCAAATTCTGCTAAATGAATTTGACCAAGTTGCGGTAATAGTGGAAAAGGACCGAATGAAGCCAATGTTCTACAAAAGGAAGAAGGATTTTGCGGAAGACTCAAAAGAAATGAAGCACACCAAAACAGTAGATTCGCTGCTTGTTTCTTTGACGCTGAACGCGCGAATAAAAGTGCTTTATGCAGACTCAGTCGGTATGAGTTCTTTGCTTAAATGTAACCTGTGTTGATGATGTTGACCGAAGTTTTCTTACGTTTTAGAAGATAGTGCGAAACTTATCGCCCTCCTCGCTAAGCAAGAAACGGCAAGAGGAAATAACATAACTGTCGACCTCGACATGAACGATAAGGAACAGCATATGTTCGATTTTTTCCTGGATATACCCGGCTTGAATTACGTGTCAGCGTTGTATCTGACGAAGAAAATTCGGTCACCTTGCAGGTTGCTGCAGATGTAGGTCGTTCACTGTTCATATATCGATGCTTTCATGTAATTGGCATTTTAGTACTGCCTCGGAAGTTGCTGAAATCGCTAAAATGAAAAGGGAGCAAGCAGAGGGGCTTTTACGATTCATCGATCGTACCGTTGACGCGGAGATTCTTTGAAGCACATGAAGCTGTGCATTTGAACGATGTGCAAACGTGCTGATATCTACTCAAATTCTTTTGCAGTTTTCAGAAACTGCCGTGAGTCCGCTTACCTCGAAGAAATTGCATTAGCAGTGAAGTTACGACCGCCATGGCGTCCCACAACTGCTTATATTAAAAGTGTCACAGAAATTCTTTGTCATCGCATACGAAATCCTCTTGATGATGTTGTTTCACCGAGACCCATACCATTTTGGTATCTGCGAAGACAATGGCAAAAATGCACTCACTTCATTCTTGTGCGTTCGAGTTTAACTTTAAGCTGTCGGCGCTTGAAATCAACCATACCCGCGTCAGCCATTTATTTTTTTTTCACGGCATGGTTTGCAGCAGATAGTTGGATTTATTTGGCAGATATCATGACTAATTATCTATTATTCAATAAATTTTGGAGTTGTAGATTGAGGTACTCGCTCGAAACAGGTAATTGACATGCTCAAGGGTCTGAATTCGGTAAACAATTGTGTGTAACATCCTGAACTCGTAGTGAAAGCGTTGAAATTCCGATTAACAGATACCACCTCAGTGCTGATTATAATTAAGCAATATGTTATCGCAACCCTAACTCAGCGTTTCTCTGTGCGGTATCGTTGGCATTATTTCGCCGCAGAACTGTGGGATATAAAAAAACCAATCTGTCTCTTGGTAACGAATATTCATGATATAATTCAGTTGCAAGACGTAACAACTTATAATGTTCTCTTCAACTGTGCTTATTGGATTTTCCACCAAGTAATTGGAACATTAAAACTTTGTTTCTTTGGATAACATTTTCTTGTACTCGCTTAAACCTGAAGCCTTCGCATATGTTATAATATTAGGCCAATAATTTTGGGTAGTTTCATTGTCATGTGCGCTATTTTATTCTATATCCTCGCTCATTAACTTCAACTCTGTAACGCTTCAAACCTCAAGTCGTAGGAACAATGTTTAACTTCGTTTCTCCATGTTTACTTAGCAATGGTTTGTCTAACTCAGTCACTTTAATTGTTTTTAGAAAGCCGCAAATTCTGATAAACGGTCGTATTGTTCCTCACACTTCGCATCATTTTCCATAATATTATTAAAAACAGACTTTGCACTGAACCTGTTCTAGTGAATAAGGAGTTTAATTTCATAAAGATTTTCACAAAATGGATGCTGAATCTCACTAATTCAATATTTACTATTATCCTAAACATGGTTCCCGCATATAGCCTGAAGAACTGACTTCAAAGATCTTTATTACTTTAAGATGCGAATATTTATCTAGTACTTTAATGTTATCTCCAAGATCAAAACATCTCATTTCTTTAGAAAACAACCGTTAGTTCCATTCTATGCAAAAACACTATATTACTTGTTTGGTCGTGGCAGATTTAATGCTTTTACAGGTAAACTACAACAATTCTGATAGAACGTATACAGGACACTTAAAGTATGAATGAAAGAACATGTAAACGTTATTGGCGCTAATCGTCCATAGCATTCCTTACAATTCAAATATAACTTCATTAGTGAAAACCATGGTCAATTCCTTGAAACATGCAGGTTGAAGACTACGTGTTAAAGAGACCCTTCGTATTTTGCTGAACAAGGGAAAGTGGTGTAACAATCACACCAACTCTATTAACATGATTTCTTTAGAAATCTATGATGTTAACTTCCCGTCGTTTTCACGTTTTATTCTCAAATTTCAACCATTATCTCTGACAACCCCTTGTCGTTCATCAAGCCTTCTGAATTTTCCTGCTTTTACACTTGCGCCTTCAGGTTTAACAACCTTAGTTTGTTTCGTAATTTTTATGCACTTTATTTCCTAGTCATTTACTGCACTATTATGTGAAATATCTGATGATGGTTCCTTTCTCGAGAGCCGAAAAGTCCGCATAATAAAGGTATGGAAATCTTGTTTCATGCAAGATGATATTCGTGTTGAAAAGATAAAAATTGCGAATGTTCAGTGTTGAGGACACAACTTACCGTGCTGAAGAAATCATTCTCTTGCATTAAACAATGGTTTGTTGTCCAGGCTTTTTTCAATTCTACATTTTCAGAAAGTTTTGATCAATGATTCGGAACAGACCTGATCTGAATCTATTATTGATTATGTACAGGTAGATTTCTTTGGACGACTAACAGAACGTTTGAGCAAATGTAAGGCTGTTCATCTGTGAAACACGTGACCGTGTGAACGGCAGTCTACTCGTTCTAGCAGTACACTTAACCCATCAAATTTAATATTTTTAAAGACACTGAATAGCCGTCGTTATTCCGTTGACACTCTTTCATAAGTAATTGAATCACGCCAAAAGTTTGATTGAACTCTGGCATGGTGAATGTATAGAGCCTGAAGTGTCAAAACTGGTCAAACTTTCTTGAAGTTCAGTGGATGTGCGCAGGGTTTGCCAGAAATGTGGTGCCTATCATTACAAGACTGGCTGCTCGTATGGAATCATACATAAAGTGGAATTTTGAACTTAAGACGAT